TCTCCAGCACGAACCAGTAAGCCCACCAGAAGTAGCCACGGAGGCCACCCCTGGCGCGGTGGATCGCCGGGTCACCACGCTGGAGGTAGTGGTCGATGCAGTTGCTGTAGTCGTGGGCGAGGTACCGGACCTGCTTCATCCACGTCTGCACCTGCTCGTCGTGCGACCCGTCGGGAGGCGCCGTCCTCGCCAGGTGCTCCAGAAAGCTGTTCATGCTCTCCATCTCCTCCTTGATGAATTCCACGTCATGACCGACGCACTGTAGCAGCTAGGCCTCGTTCCGGAGGATGCCCAGCAGCGAGCTCACGGCGCCAGCCGCGAGCTCAGCCATTGCAACAGCACAGGGCTTGCTGCTGTGCTGCCGACGACGCGACCTCGCCGAACGGTGTCCACCTAGCTAAGCCTCTTAGCTTTAGTTTTAGATTAGCACCTTAGCAAGTTGTACTGGGACCGAGAATGAACGAGCTAGGTGTCTCTCCAATAGTGCATTGGATTATTGGTGTGTGGTTGATTGGATAGGTCTCTTCTCTTCAACAGGCAAAGCAGCTCTAGTTCTTCAAGAAATACATGGGAAGAGATAATGCCCGGTTTTACGAACTTTCTATTCTTCTCTTTTCTTCTAGGCAAGGCAAGCATATGGTTCTATTCATTGGAGGATTCTTGAAGTCATTCATAAGGTCAGGTGTCAGGACGTACTACATCCAATGACTTTATCCTTTGCTTTGCTTTGCTTGTCTGTTCTTGCATCTTTTCAAGCATTGGACAAACCACAAAATGAAGGAAGGTAGTATGAGATATTAGTCCGACTACAGTGCTCTTTACCGGTAGTATTCTACAACTAGTAGAAACAATCTTAACCGTCTGTTTATAAGGACGTATTAGTACTTGGGTAATTCTTCCTTAGGGGTAATTTTGGTTATTGCTTTTTTCCTGTGTTTCAGTCTTGTATTCACGCATCCTTCTAGCGTCCTCTCGCATTGCCGTTGCCAGCTGATTTCAGTGGCAACACCCTGTCCCGCGACCGCCTTGATCAGTGGGTGTTTATCCACACAAGTCGCTTTCTTTTGTTCCCTGCCCCATCCGTGGCTCCCTTCATTGCCGTCATCACTGTCGATGTTCGATTTTCCCATCGGCAACCTGATTGTTGTACCACTCGCCGCCATCACTTTAGTTTTACACAACCTCCTCATGTGCGAGGTCGTGGGAGAGTGCTACGCTCGGGCACAGGAGCACAGCCGCGCTGGTGCCGGCTCCCTAGCTCTCTTGCCTGGGCCTGGAGTGGAGGTAGACCACGAGCACGCCGCCTTCGGATCTCACCCTTCGTCATCCAGCCGATCCGCTGTCGCTGAGAACGCCACACCAACCACGTGACTGATGGCACGAGCGCGCCGCGTTCCACTCCTTGATTATTGTGCATCTGAGGCGCAAATCTAAAATTTTATCCCTCCAAGTTTTGTTTTTTTCTTTACTATTATTTCATTAGATGAGGGTATTTTTTACCAGGTCTCTACATCCAACTAGATATATACAACATTTTTAAATTGAAAGGTTAGCCACTCAAATAATCCAATCATCTATATATTATATGTGATATTCATATTGTATAGTATATAAATGATAATTAATTAAGGTGTTATTATACGGAAATATCACGCATTGGGAACTCAGGACCCAATCTGTGACAAGTATATCCTTTCATGTTTCTATTTTCATTAATTAAGGTGGTAGTATAAATAAATCTTACCCCTGGATAAAAAGTCATAAATGATTTAGATTAACTAGCATTGGTGGCCCGTGTAGATTGCGTGGCTAGTATCGTTAATTTTTTTTCTTATTAATAGCTTAAATATTTTCACATTTGATTATTAAAATATTTTAAAATGGCAACATAATTCTAAAGTATGTACTAACTTGACCAAACCAACTAATGCAAGATATTCATATTTTATAGTATATAGATGATAGTTATTAATTATTTTTCAGTTTCAAATTTTAGTTATTTCTAAATTATATTGGCTCAGTGAACTGGTGGGTGTTCCGAGGTTGAAGCGGGTCTGCATTCTCTCTGCAATTCTAGAGACTTCGTGTTTTGGTGGAGTCGGAGTTGCTGCATCGGATTCAACCGATGAGCTGGGCAATGATAACACCCAACATCGGGTTCAACGCCTGTGGGTGCCGTTTCCCCTTTGGAGGTGTTGCTTTCTTGTCTCTCTCCTTGGGTGAAATCCCAGCCCAGTTATGGGCAGGCATTGGCATCGGCCTTGTCGTTACTTCCCTTCCTGGAGGCCTCGCCTTGATGTTCTTGCTCCTTCCTTGGTCGCCATCGGGTTTTCATAGTTGTTTTGCCACAGGTTTTTGTTTTTTCTTCTGTGTAGGGTTTCGCCGGCTTCCCCTTAGTAAACCGTACAGTTGTATGGTTTTTGGGTCTGGTTTTATTTATAAATAGGGCAAACTCTCTTCTTCTTAATATATTGGTAGATCTCCTACCGTTGTTCAGTTAAAAAAAAATTATGTATGCAATACTCTAGACTCCTCTTTTAATATTCCTTTTTTAAAAAAAAATTGTATTCCCATTATTTATGAACTTTATTCCTATACGAACTATAGACTTCGCTTCCAATATTTCTTTTTCTTAATTTCAAGTTTTAGTTATTCGTAAATTGTATTTCTGCAAATCTGTGACCACCTGGACTCATGTACGTGGTCATAGTATAACCCAAGTCCCAACATGTCTCGAATTAATTCACGTTGTTGATGTACGGTAGGATGGTTGTCCGCATACGCATAGCTACATTGGCATACTTTTTACATATGTAGGTTATGATTTATCTTTATTTCATTAGTAGCAGCAGCAGTAGTAGTAGTTTGAGTGTTTGACCGATGCATGCAATGTGGTGGTCAGTCAGCATATATATTGATGTGGGCGATGGTATCACGATCCTTCGATAAGAGGATAAGTCGATTGGATGGAGAGACGTTGGTGATCTGACTACAACTATCCATGGATGTTGCGCCTTAGCAATCGTTACACCAACTCCAGAGGCGGTCGTTCGACGGATGCATGATCAGCCTAACCACGAGGATATTTGTTCCTGCAAGCAATCGAGAACTAGCAAGAACAAGATAAACAAGCAACTCATTTTGCGAATCAAGATGATGTATTGAATCAATAGAAGTATCACAAGTGGGGTTCCATAACAAGCAAACCGGCGATCTAACCAATCACGGGATTATTTGGCAAAGTAGCGATGCTAGACTTTGATCTAAGCTAAACCCAATTGTTTTTGCGGCGGCTAAAGGTATAAGAAGAGGGGGAGAACGACCACATGGGTGTTGGGGTCATACTCTAACCCTAGAGCGCGCCCCTAATGGGCCCAACTTGATACACAATCCATTGGACCCAAATGAGGTGACGCAACACCGTGGATAGAAAAGTACTCGGTAGTAAAACGATAATTGCGGGCGCTCCAAAACATATATGGACATGATGCTGGATCCATTTAAAAGTAGACTTGATAAGCTTTTCATGAAATACTTGTACGTCCAAATCGGAGTTTGCATGAAGTCATGGCGGCCATCAAAATTTGGTGCAGTCTTGTAGTCCACCCCGCACGAATCCTCTCCCCATTGGATTCTCTCCAGCATTCCTGAGTAAAACAAGAGTGCACGCGTCTCCAGGATATAAACAAGCGGAATATGAACTCAAGAATTCACTCACCTGATAGTTGAGTTAACGTGCACGAGCGCAGGAAATAGGATCATGAAATTGTACTTGTGGAGACGTGGATGTATCGATGGTGTTGATGTCCTCATCATATATATCGCTGGCTGTCAGTTGAACAATCGAAGCAGCAACGGCATGTCGAAAATGCTCATACTCGGATGCCCGATCCACGCCCAAAATATTAGACGCATTTTCCCAACCACCCGTGACTCCCTCTCTCCCTCTCTCTTTCTCGCACCTTCCCCTCTCCCTTCCTCCGCCTCCTCGGCTTCCCACCTGTCCAGCGCCCACCTCCCTTTCTCCTCCTACACCTCCGCCACCACCACCACCACCGTCCTCGCCTTCTCCGAGGAGTGGGAGAGGAGGTGCGGGCACTGGCCCGCGGGTTCTCGCCGTACGTGGAGGCGACGGCGAGATTCTCGCCTCGTCCGTCCATCCCGTCGTTCTGGTGTTCTCTACCGCTGCGGTGTGCGTGTTGAGGGAGATTTGAGGAGGTGGCGTGTTGGTTTGGCACGAATCGGCCGAGTGGAGCGCCTGCCACGATGCTGCTATTGGTGGCTGCTTCATTGAGTGTTTCCTGCTTAGCCTGAAACCGTTCCAGTTCAAGCCTGAACCCTGCTCGCGCGGCAGCTGCACAGGTCGATCGGCGGCCACGCGCACAGCGTCTCGAGGAACATTGACGCCATTTCTCTGGGCTGCTGCCATCTACTCCTGCACTGCCGCCATCGGAGGAGAGGGAAGAAGGCAGATCTGACTGGTATTTTCGTGATTTTTTTTATGTTTCAGCCAATGTAACTCGATGTTTCTTTGTGTTGCATCAAATTGTTGTAGTGGGATTTCTTATGGTCTTTAAATTTTTTTTTTGATCCTTGTGGATTTGTTGATGTTTCAATATTTGAAATTTGATGTTTCCTGTTTCAGAACAAAGTGTTTTAGTTCATGATTCAACCGTGTTTCATCATTTAAATAGTCTGAAACATGTGTTAAGCTAGTGGTGAAACAATTTACTTACAAGTACTGAAACAACGCCCGATTTGTAGGTGCTTCTGCACCCTGTACATGGACATCAAAACCCTTCATTTTATGTATTCGTATCGGACTCATAATGCCCCCTTCTGTGCGGATGTGTATGAATGAAGAAACAAAAATAACAAATTTTATCTACACTGTATGGTTACTATTCACTATCTGATTTTGTTATTTTTCTTTCTCTAGTTATAGATCAAATTTAGTTCTGTATGTTTGTGTATAGATCATAACAACCAATGTTACTTAATTTTTTCAATAACTATTTGAGTCGCATGTAAATGATGGGTGCCATGGTACCTAGGTGTAGAAAATCCTTATGCATATGGGCACGCACGATAAGATTGCGCACGCACGTGCAATGGTAGTGATTTTAAATTCAGAAGAACGGCACCTAAGCTTACGTTAATTTACTAGCTATATCCAATGGCTGGGAGGACTTGGAGGCAGAACTCAATCTTCTTCACAGCCGCGTCTAGAATCTGCGCAGCTGGCTGCAACGGAGGACGACAGCCGCCGGCGCCGGAGGACGTCGACGAGGCTTGCGGCGACGACGGGGATGGCATCCTGCTCAGGTGATACCACTGGCTGTACCAGACGACCCAGCGGGCGTCCCGGAGAGCGTCCCTGAGGTCATCCCTCAGCAGCGGCCACGACGTCTCCGCGTCCCGCATCAGCCGCGACGCCGCGTGCGGGCGCTCCATGAGGTCGGCCACCTGCTGCGCGAGCTGCGCCACGCGGAGCACCTCCTCCACGTTGTGCGTCGCGTGCCACGCCCCCTGCACGGTCACCCGCGCGTCTTCCACAATCCCCCTCACGACATGGCCCCAGTCGCCACCACTGTCAGTGCTTGCACCTTGCTGCCATGGCGCCACCATGGTTGGAGGAGGAGCATGAGCATCTCGGTAATCTCGGTGGATGTTGTTGCTGGCGACGTGGTTGTAGTGGTGGTATTGCTGTAGGATCGAGGAGATCCGATGGTCGAGGGCGTGGAGCTCGCCGGGCTTCTTGTCCGGCGATCTCGATATGTCGTCGAGGGCACCTCTTAGGCCTGACAGCACCCCGGCCATCGCCGGGTCCGGCGGTGTCGACGGCGTCTTCTTATCCTCCAATAGCTTGAGTATTTTTTTGGTATTTTCGGCCTGTTCCCTCAGCAGGCGAACCTTCTCCCTCTCGCGCTTACCTGTCCCCGCCATCCCCTTGATTTGAGCTCCAAGCGCGACAACGGCCACCCACAGAGCCATCGTCTCCACCGCTGGCATCTTGATCAATCTTGCGGGTTCTTGGTGCACCCGAACTCGTATGCAGCGTATAGTCCAGTGTTGATGTGGGTCTTCCTGTAAATCAGTGGATTAATTAGGTCATTTGCAACAACAAATTAATTAACACATGCCCGGTGCCCCCCACTCCATGTACGCACAGTAGCCCCCTCACATGTTCTTTCAACAGCGAAATGGATTCTACTCCCCCAAGAGAGAAGATCTCCCCACGTACACCTTTGTTTTCTCTCTATTTCAAGATAATTTATTGTGAAAAAAATCAATGTATTGCATAGCATGATATATATCACTATACCAAAAACATAATCGACAAATATAAATCAACAGAAAAAAGTTCGGCTGTACTGTTTATATATTAGATTTGTATTATTTTCTTATGTCCTAATGTGTAAGTTGCGTTTAAATTTTGATTTTGTGGAAACGTATATTTATATTGTTCAAAGATATTTTAATAACCATTTAGGTGACATTTTCTTATAAATATTTGAATGGTGTTTAAATAAATGAAGAATATTACCATATAGTACGTCAGGAGACTCGTCCAACTGTGGGGATGTGGGGCAGCTGCCCTAGCAGCGATAGTTCAGCCAGGGGAGCAAATGGAGGTGAGGAGTGGGGCCCACGAGGTTGGTTGGTAGGACACACGTGGGCTTCTGTATATTTTATTTGAGATAGTAGTATGGATATTTATATATATGTATTTTTATCCTTCGAGAATATCCGCTTGTTGCTTACATACCATTAAATAGTTATTAAAAATTTGACAACTAAATTCATATGAAATATATCACTCCACAAAAATACAAAAACCAAATTCGACTTCTATAAGTTACAACAAAAAGAATAAATTAAACTGAAAATTGTTATCCTGAATTCGTAGTTATATTTGTTACAACTTGTAAAAGTTAGAATTTTAACTTGCATGTTTATTGAGTAATATATTTCATATTAATCTAGCTCGCTAATTTCTTTAGGTTTTTATTATTATTTAGGTCACAGATACGAAACGAGGGGATGCCCCATCGAAGGATATAAACACTTTCCCATAGTAGTAGGATATGGAATTTATTTTATCCCTCAAGGTGATATATATCTTCTCGCTGCTTGCAACTGCATGCCATCGATCTAAATAGCTAGTTATCAACAAATTTTAAAAAAATTGACAGCTAGATAAGAGGCTGAACGATGGGGCCACTTAAGGTGTGCGAAATCTGCACTATATATATTTGACTCAGGGTGGTTATTCATCTGGTTCATCAAATTCAAAAGATTTTGATACCATGGCAGTGTATATACCGGACCAAAGGAAAAATTTAGGGAGGAGTCGGAAGAGGTTAAAGTGGAAAATGCGAGAATAAAAGCTTTTTCTGGTAGTGGGACTTACGAAAATAAAAGCCCTACAGCGCCGAAAATATTTTTTCTAGTAGTGGGACCTTTTCCTCTAGAGTGCAGATTGAGAAATGAAAACAAGCCTGCGATTTGAGATCATTATATTTTTTTCCGATCCTCAGGATGTATATATAAAGAAGTATATGTATCTTATAATTAATATTTGTCAGAATATATATAAGCTCTACCCTATAAGTGTATATACCTCCTAAGACAATACCTACAACTCTAAAAACCATTACAAAGGGTCAAGAACATATTTAAAAAGATAAATTTTCAGTTCTATTCCAACCTGTAAAATTAATTTTGATATTTCCCTCCATGAAAAAGTATATATCAAGTACGGGACCTCTTCATGCTCCATTCATGCATCTTGCTTGATTTCTCCCTATAGCTATAAGCTAGTTTGTGTTTACCGGCTCTCCAAGAATAATGACTTAACGTTTATTACTCCATTACCATCCGGCTGATCACCACTACCAAATTATAGTTTGCACAGGCGGACAAATTCTTAATGATATATAAAAAGAATAATTCGCGAGATAAATTAGTGCATACTAGCTAGTAACAGTAAATAATTAAGACATTTACCGATGGATCCAATGTTCGCTGAACTCGTAGCTAAGCTAGCTGCTCCTTCCCAAGCTAGGGTATCAGTATCTTCAGTAGTGAGTAGCTAGTGAGAGCTCTATTGCCTTTTGCCTTCTTGCAAGCATATACAGGCACTGAAGGCGCTTAGCTATTTATAATCAGGCAAATTTAGTCTCCTAACGCGCTAGCTCCTACGCTTAATTAAGTGGCCAGCTCGTAATATAATCACAGTGACGACGCGTCTGCAAGAGACGACCCAAAACTGAGTAAAGACCAATGATTAGGACAAAGGAACGAGTCTCCAACTCTTCTCTCCCCTCTTCTCCAATGAATCCAAAATAACCAGACGTGGTCACAGTACTGGTCCCGGGGCTCGGGGCCGGTCTGGTTTGGTTGACCGGCTGGGTCTTAGCTTCGAGTCAACCTAAAAAAACAAGAGTAAAGTTCATCACCGATCTCTAAACTTGTACCGCTGTGTTATCCCGGTTCCTAAACTCGCAAATCGACCGTTCTGATTCTCAAACTTATTCAACTGTGTCATCCCGATCCCTAAACTTGCAGATCACTCATTTAGGTCCTCCAACTTATTCTGTTATGCCACCCCGGCCCCTAAACAGAACGGTCTAAAAACTTTATATATTAAAAAATAATTCATAACTTTTTCATGTAAACTCTAATAAGACAAACTTTATATCAAAATTGTAGCCCTCGGCGTGACCTACAACTTTATTATGTTTTTAATGCCTATGAAAAAATGCATATAGTGTGCTATTGGTAAAACAGGAGCAAAGGCAAAACAAAAAAAAAAGATACGATGAATCATGATATGGTATTGCGAGCTAATTATGTTTTTAATGCCTATGAAAAAAAACAATATTTACATATGATGTTTTCTTGCAGGTGTTCCTACCAATTATGGCAAATCACACTGGTACGTTATCGTTATTAATGCAAGATATTAGAAAATTTAAATCCTGGACTCCATGCAAATGGGGGCAAATTGGTACAATGCAAAGGAGGATACTCCCTCCGTTTTAAAATGTTTGACACCGTTGACTTTTTAGCACATGTTTGACCGTTCGTTTTATTAAAAAAATTTGTGAAATATGTAAAAATATATGTGTACATGAAAGTATATTTAACAATGAATCAAATGATATGAAAAGAATAACTAATTACTTAAATTTTTTGAAAATAAGACGAATGGTCAAACACGTACTAAAAAGTCAACGGTGTCAAACATTTTAAAACGGAGGGAGTATAAATTAAAATCCATTGTAAGTTCATTTTTACTTTCATTCCTATAATAACTGAATCTGCCCTAACATGATAGTTTTCAGATTAATGGTGTGGCCAAGTATATTGTGTACAAGGTGAAAGAAAATGGTACTTCCACATCTTGGACTAACACAAATGTTGCTAATTGGCCACGGTTCCCAAAGAATGTACCTCAACAAAGAGACAGGTGCAACATCATCAACCATATTTCACACAATAACTTAATTGTTAACTGATTATATGCTTTGAAGTTCATAGAAACTTGGAATGGAAAATAGTTATCCAACGAATACTTCACTATGGTATATTCTGAAACTACTGACCTATATTAACACTTTCATTTTACTGCATATAACATTAATTTCCTTTTGCTTATAGGAATCCAACGAAGTTTTCAGATTTAAACATAGTTATTTCAGTCCATGAAGACATAAGACGTCTAGAGTCCGAACATTCTGAACTTCATGCATCATTTAGTACATCTGAAGTTACCAACGATATTTAATAAAGAAATAAATGCAACAACATATCTGCATCTAAATGTATTGAAAACTTTCTTTTGAGACATGTCATTGAAGCTATTCAATTCCGATTGCCCCAACTGTGTGAATAATGTTTCGCTAATTTCAATCCATCCTCAGCCATATATTGGGGCATAAAAATACTAACCACCCAATGAAGGGGAGAACTGTGCATGCATCGTACCTATTATTCCTCCTAAAATAATCGAATTGTGTACTTAATTCTATCTGTAGCAGGAGCAAAACATTGAAAAAAAAACCCACAAATTGCAAGGTAAAAAACCGAAACCTTATGCATCAGCACCGCCCTCGCTCTCCATGCTGCAGCAACGCCATAACCTTATGCGGCAGGTGGCGTTGACCACCAAACATCGACTGGCCATGGATTTGTGTCACCGACCTCCCAACGAATCGCCGACGTAACCATCGCCAAGCTCCCGACGTTGACCACCAAACATTGACTTGCCATAGATTTGGGTCACCGAGTTCCCGATGAGGTACCGCTGCAACCATCGCCGAGCTCCCGGCGTTGACCTTCACCCATCGAATGGAATTTGCGCTGCAACTAGGATCTAGGCCTAACCATGCGATGGAGATTTACGGTTCGTTTCGTATTGCCCCTTCTCTCACTGCAATGCCGCGTGCGGTGAGAAGGAAAAGAACGCAAAAGAGATGAGAGCGAAAGAGATGCCGCGTGCGTAATGTGGAAGAGAATGCGAAAGTACAAAACAACCCTCCCACCTACCGTACCGTCTCAATCAGGATCTACGGTCCCACGTGGTACAGACTATTTTCAACTGTTGGATGTTGCCAAATCGACGGTCCCGATTTAGTACTGCACACCCTGAAGTACAGTAAAAAATCTCTTGATATAAAGTTTGTCTTTATCTATATTAAAAATCATCGGTTCTTTTTTTTTTTTGAAAAAACTACAGGTATTGGGTACTTAATGGACTGGACGGTCCAGTCGTTTCGGTATAACTGTTTTGTTGTTTATTATCAACATGTGTCTGTCAGTACCGGTTCATTAACATGAACTAGTTTTGAGTATGACTACTGATTCATGTTAAGAACTGGCAGCTGATACATATTTCACTCTCTGTTCTCAACAAGAACCGATATGGAACCTAAGTAATCTTACTGCTGGTTCGTAATATGAATTGGCGGTGATCGGTGATGAATTATTGTGATTCAAAGTAGTATCACTGCTCTGATGAGGCGGTTTCTATTATGCTAATTGTGTGTCCTGCATGGTGTTTGGTTGTATTCTCCTTTTCATATATTAATAGGATTTCTATACTCATACACACAAAAAAATTGTAAAATTGATTAATATGCTCCTGAGAAAGCCCGGAAAAAGGCTTTTATTTGATAAGTATATATGTGACTAAACAAAACATTTAAGATGGGGGCAGTGTTCCACACATGACATAAAGAAAAGAAGCACAACAAGATATCAGATCACTCTTGTGAGTGAAAGACACAACAAAACGAGAGGGTACTCGGCAGCAAGTACGGCTCGCCAGGCTGATCCAGAGCTCAACTTCTGCTCAACCGTTTTGGCAAACTCATCCATAATTTCTTCTGATGATCCAAAATGCAGAACAACCGTTGACTCGAATACTGCTCTTATCGATAATGCTATCATCTTTGGACTGACCGTGGCGTCGTCCATGCCGCTGAATGGATTTCGCACTAGCATCTTGTTGATTTCAAATGAACCCTCATCCTCAATGATTTCGTTCACCTCGTTCTCCAAAGGTGCGTAGAGTGGTATGTAGAAGGAATCGAGCTTTTCTTTGTCAATGATACCCTACAAAAGCGAATTGATTATTCATAAATATCCTATCATGAGGTAATATATATGTCCACAACGAAAATTCCTTTGTGGTTAAATAGCAATATATTGCTACTATAGTAACCCAGCGCAAACAAATATAAGACAAAGGGCATGGGAATCTCAGACGACTTGATGTAACAAAGTGAATGCAATAAATTAAGCTTCCGTTATCCTAAAAAAAAAAGAGGGCACGGAGAACTAAACATGTGCTCACCCTGGATGCCATGTCATTCAAAGCTACTGCTACCACCTGCCATGCCTGATTGGATCTTGAGATAGGGTTTTCCGAGCACCGGCCATACAAGGAGATAACCATCCGGCCTCCCGTCACCAATTCTTGAGCCCTCAAGCTCAAGAACTGCGTGAAATCCTTCCTGAACTGGCGAGCATAAGCATCCCTAACAGCTGCACGCCTCGACACCCTAAGATGTTCAACCATGTCATACATAGGTATTTTACCCTCCTTAAGATCATCTGGAGCCTGTTTTTTTTTTAATTACAAAATGCACATCTTAAGGTCCATTATACTCATCGGTAGAATGACTTTCATAGAACAATTTAATCAAGAATTATAGTTACCTTTGATAGCCAGTGCAAGCTGTTCGACGAGCAAACAAAATGCAGAGAGCCACAGGGGAATAGCCTCTCGTAGAATGACCCAGGTATCATTCCGATTCCGGTGATCACAACCGGATCGTCTAGATCGCCATGGCTGTGCTTCAGAGTCGCCAAGCTTTTCGCGACGGAGTTAAAATCGTTGCTGGGCAAATCGTTCAAGAAGACGCACACCTCTGGCGGTGGCTGTTGCTGCTGTGCACAGTGATGGTGGATAGCATCGAGAGCAGCCGAGACAAGCGTTAGCGCGTTCGGGCCTGAGGAGCAGCCCAAGTCTGCAATCGCCATGCTCTTTGGGAGAATGGTGCTCGTCGGTTCGCATAAGCCTGTGATGGCCTCATTTATCAGCATCTTCATTCTATCTTGCTCTGTTTTCTGCATAAAATCAATTGTTTAGATAGGTTTGTTGTGAAGTTTATTACTCCCTCCGTCCTAAAATATAAACAATTTTATCATAGTGACAAGTCAAATATTTATAATTTTGGCTATTGAAAAATATAAAAAAGATCAATCATGTAAAATTGATGTTACTAGTAGATTTATAATTAAACAAACTATCACAATATGCAACTCTTTTTATTTAAAACATCTTATTTTTATAGATATCGTTGGTCAAAGTAGAATCTCGAATACCGTGTCAAAATCTAAAAGTGCTTATATTTTAGGACGAATGGAATATTTAATTATTTGGGAAAAGTCTGAATTTTATCCTTAGAGCAGGTACAATAGTAGGCTATAAGCCAGCTATAACCACATATCGAGAAAAAAAGATAAGAGAGAGAAGAAAGCGGGCTGCAGATTTATAGCCGGCTGCAACACGACCTCCAAGATGTTACGTGTGTATGAGAGGTGGGACCGGGTATTAATGATGTAGTATATTTTTATAGTTAACTATTGTATAAATGGGCTATTAGATTAGCTATAAAAGATTTAGAGCCAGTAGTTGACTACACTATTAAACTTGCTCTTAAAGTATTGGGTAAGTACGAATTACCCCCTTAGACCTGAAAGCCAGATATCTTTCACCCTTAACTATTAATATCGGACGAATTACCCCCCGTAACTCAATCCGGGGTGGTTTTGGTACTACGTGGCAGTCCGATCAGTATTTTTTTTTGCTAAAAAAGGGTGGGACCATATGTCATATTCTCTCCCTCACCCCTTACCCCTCTCTCTTTTTGTGAAGTTTATTATTTAATTTTGTACAATATTACCAGGTTCATATACTACTTCTGTCATGAGATCTATTCCAAACTATAATTATATTGTCTTCCAATTTTTGCAGAAATAAATAATAAAGCTAGATTAAAATTTAGTACTATTTCCGTCATAAAATAAGTGTAGTTATGGGTTTCTGTGTCCAATGTTTGACCGCCCGTCTTATTTAAAAAAAAATGATTAGTATTTTTTGTTGTTATTAGATGATAAAATATGAATAGTACTTTATGTATGACTATTTTTTTAAAAAATATTTTATAAAATTTTCAAATAAGACAGTTGGTCAAATGTTGCACAGAGACCGACCACTAAAGCACTCTCCATGGATACATATGATCTATGAAAAAGTCCAAATACACTCTAAAATTTGGATGAAGTTATATTTATCAGACATATGAGTCCCAAAACATCCTCTAAAATTTATGAACTTTATAATACAAGTGTGTCCCAATATAAGTGCAGTTGTGGGTTTCTACGTCCAACGTTTGACCGCTCGTCTTATTTGAAAAAAAATAAAAAAAAAGGAGTGTTTTGGGACTCTTATGTGCCTGATAAATTGTGTCAAGATACACCTCTCTCTTTCCTCTATTTTAATGTGGGTGGGTCCTATTATGATTATAAGGGGTGTTTTATATTTTGCGATAATTTTCTTTAGTTGATATGATTAATGTGTGCCCCACACTTTGTACCCCCATATTAATGTGTGCTCTTACATATAACGTACTTATATTGTCATGCTTATTATTATGTTGTTATTCCTTTGTAAATGAGAACGAGCAAGTGGATAAAAATAATGATTTAAAAGGATATTTTAAAACACACACACATATATGTACAATCTATATGACACGTGATGATCAGACTTGTTAACGTATATGTAGCTAGATTAGATAAAAAAACACTTTACAAAACAACCTAGGAGATTATATGGATGAACTATTTTAATATTCAAGGTGCTAGATGAACTTCCAATCAAAATTTAGAGTGTATTTGGACTGTTTCATATGATTTACATGAATCCAAGCTTCAAACTATTGAAAATTTGATTAGATGTGCTTCTACAAAGAGATGTTTTTGTGACCAGAGGAACTGTTGTACAATGGGAGTTTACGACTTGATTCGTAATGTTAAGTACCAAAGTTAAGGTATGTTTTTTTTAGAAAAACATATAATATCATTGTGGTATGAAGTTAGTTGAATATAAACATTATAATAAAATTGTAGAGCCCAACTAGCATTTTATAGTTCACCACTTCTTTTTATTTAGGATCGTAAATATTATGATATATTTTAGTGGTACCAATTTTAAATTTTCTTCGTACCTTCCAATAGAGATGAGCTTTATGTGAATGTTACAGATCTGAACGATGTTTTTGTTTGAAGTTATCTAACACTACTCTAGAAACAACGAGTACCCCTATATAAGTTTGTAGGCAGACATAAGTGATCGCGGCTAAAAAAAAGTCGACCTGCATTTTCGTATATGACTTCTTAACAGGTCGAAGTTTCATATTAGAAGAGTCAAAGTAAAAGCATGTGTGTTATGAAGTAATCAGTGGGGTAAGCTGGCTACACGTGGACGAAAAAGTCTTCGGGCCTAATTAATCATACTGGCATTTCAACTATGAAAATAAATGTGCGATTTGTGTCTTTCATATATATACACTAATACATACCCTGCAGGATCAAGATACAGATTTTTCTTATTTTTCTGGAGCGAAAAAAAAAATCAAACTTCGGGATAGCAATAGCTGCCAGTTTTCGTGACTTGAACGGATGGTCCCTGACAGCGTCGGCTATACAGCCGCAATAATACAATTACAGTATCCCTGCTTGTTATATTAATTAGCGCAGGTTAAAAACCGGCCGTTATAGCAAAGTTTTGAACTGGCACGTTCGGAACATATATTCTCGGTTGGGCTACTCCACTAGCACGATTTCCGAACAGCACAAACGGTTGTGTTTAATTTTTAAAAAATAGGAAAAACTTTTTTTAAAATTCAAATAAAATACTTTTTTTAACTTTTGTTAAGTTTATAAAAGTGAAATATAATACTCAACTAATTATGTGGTAATGATTTTTCACACGCAGAAAAGGGTCACCAACCCCACCCATTTCGAATTGAGACTTAGAGGTAGTATGAATTTAAAAAAACGCATAGAACTTTTGTGAGATATTACATGATTACATCATGATAGTTCACTAGTGTAAATCCATACAACATTTGTTGTGCTTTCTCTTCGAACATATATATATATACATATATATATATATATATGTATATATATATATGTGTATATATATATATATATATGTGTATATATATATATATATGTGTATATATATATATATGTATATATATATATGTATATATATATGTATATATATATATATGTATATATATATATGTATATATGTGTATATATATATGTAGCAAACATGCACATCAATAGTTGAGTTAAATTTAGGTGTACATATTATTTTCTATAATTTTTATTCATATATCTATGGCTACAATAAGTTATACAACAGATAGACATTCATACACATATACACTAAGGCATGTTCAGATTATAGCCAAAATAAACCTTACCAAATTTTGGCAATACCAAAATTTTAGCAAGTTGATAATATTGCTAAAATTTTGACAGGATTTCTTCTGTATTTGTCAAAGGTTGGCAACAAACTAAACGTAGACATATTTTTGATAACTATACCAATAAATGATATGGTTGAAAATGGCATCAATCTGAATAACACCTAATTTGGTACAAGCAGCATAGATTCCTAATTATATTAAAATAAGAAAATGACAAACTATTCTTGCTACTGTTGTTATTATAACTATTGGTTTCCAAGGACAATACAATAAAATAAACAAACCAAATAAGATCAATATTTAAGAAAAAAATAACAGGAGAAATATGTGAGAAAAAGAACAGAAATTTAGAATCACACGTAGAAAAACGCCAGCAGTTTATAAAACCACTGTAGCTATCGGTTATACAATAGCGGAGCTAACGAGGATATATCATTAGCACCAAACCAGCACATATAGGGGATCAGGGGTGCACCTATTTTTCACACTTCAATTCCTGCAACTTATATGATTTTTCACACAATATACGCACATATATACAGTTGACAAGAATCAAAACTAGGACCTCTCTCTCAGAACAAAGCCTCTTTAATATCTTACTACCTAGCAAACACTTGTTTTCTTAATTAGTGGCAAATACTATTATTTAGAAAATCCGGTTGTATTTCTTGGTGCACAGGAAATTTACAACTGATAAAAATACAGAAACATCCAAGAAGACCCCAAGTGTACTCACCACATTTGGCCAGACTTTTGAAGCAATTTCTGTCATATTTCAGTTCTTTTAGCATAAGAATCAACTGTCGTCAACTTAACTATGTATTAAATACCGGATTTTTCAAAACTAAAAAAGATAAGAACAGGAAAGCAGGGGCTTCGATTACTTTTCAATTATCCAATTAATAATCAAAACACGATCATTTCATGCAGATCAGAAAGAACTTATACAATTCAACTAACATCTCCTCATCACAGAAATATGTACAACTGTACGTACTGTGACTCAGAAATCAGCCAAAGCCTATCGCCAACGAACATATATATATATATATATATATATATATATATATAACACACACACACATACCTGAACTGTGGAGTTGCGAGCATAGCTAGTTTCGCCATGCCCTGCATTCATATGGAGAATTTCTTTGGTGGTCATGGCGCAGTTGCACTAATATCTGAATGTGTTTGCTACGATATATGATGTCTGAGTTACCTATTTATAGCCTTACAAGTCGCCCATTGTGTGGTCTTTATTGTCAGCTGACCTTTGATGTCAGAAATATAAAACAATGATTTTCTTTTACTACCGACAGATATATTTGTTGCTTAAAATTAATTTGTACAATAAACTGTCCAATCATTCATTAATATTTCTGACAACCATGCCCATGTGCGGCTAAGTTTGTACAATAATCCGCTTACTAATAATTTGTACAAAATAAGCGTGGACTTGTGAGCATATTATGTAATCGCTCCGTTTTACAATATAAATTATTCCAGTATTTTCTACATTTATATTAATATTAATGAATCTGGATAGGAAATGTTAGAATGACTTGCATTGTGAAATGGATCCTGTTGTCCGATAAACTTATTTGTTTTTAGCCGTGTACATCTACATGTGAATAAATGTAGAATAAAAGAGGCGGGATTTTGATTCTACTAAAATTCTAGCTGAGATGGATATGGATGCTATCATATATATACTCATATTTTATCTAGAGAGTCTCTTCATGCATGGACTGGTTGGAGTAGCATGCATGCTATTTAACTGAATTGACTCTAGCTAAGATGGATCACTGAGAGTGCTCAACTCAGTAAATCTATCGTATACAATTTAACTATGATAGGTTAGTGAGTATATATGCTGACATATGTCAGTTAATGTTACTTTTGTGGTGCAGAAAAAATGCCGAATATTTGCCCTACTGCCGCGCGCCCCTTAATTGGGTACGTTCTCAAGTCGTTGCCCACCGTGTCCGTACATGACAGTAGCACATAAAACTGTGCTACAGAGAAATAAATCAGTAATTAACACATGTTTCGTCTTCTTATTTAAGTAAGGTGAATAAATTAACGAGTGCAGACACAATCACATGCACATGTTGTGTTACAAAAGCAACTCATAACACATAATATATATATATATATATATATATATATATATATATATATATATATATATATATATATATATATATATATATATATATATATATATGAGAGTTGAACAAATATGTTACAGGCAAATTGCTTAACCATGTGACAATCAGACTATATGTGGTCTTCCGCATTAGTCTTTGATGTGAATTTCGTGTTCAATTAGCTAAATACCAGTGTTTTTGCTACGGATAAATGTAAATTATATGCATGCACTTGTCTATATAAATAAACTTGATTTTAGAGATGATTAGATAATCACAAATTAAAATGTAGAATCACTAGCTATCTTCTAATAATATGGAAGTATACATAAGGAGATGTCGGTAAGAAAAATATAAAAATAGAGTTCGTAGGTGGTAGAGTCAGTTTCCACCACCACTGCCTTATTTTAGAGGGTAAATTAGGACCCACATGAGTCAATGACATATGGGTTAGGATGGCATATTTCAAATTTTGCAAAATTATAATGGCATGGTTCCAATTTTCCCTATTTTGGGTAGAAGAGTATATATAGATATAGATATTGATAGATTAATATTATGGCTATTTTCGCAAAGTGAAAATCATGGGGATAGTGCGAAATTATCAAAACATATTATTGATATTGACTAATGTTTTCCTGTATATTGGAGAATCGTTGCTGAAAGTAAACAAAAATATATATTTAAAAAAATAGAAAAGCTGAAACAGAGAAAATATATGTGGAGCACCTTTTCTATATTTTTATGTCAAGATTTATTTCAGATGATAGAAGTTGCATGAAAAGGTTATGACCTAGAGTTATAGCAGATTCTTTATATAAGCAATTCAGATTGGTTCCCATTACACATTCAAATCATCCAACTTTTGCAGTCATTATATTGATATATATCATCGAAGTTAGGATGCTCTTGTAACCACTCACATTTTACAACAAGAAAAGGTAACTTCATGTTGGTTTATTAATATTTTGTTTATTATTTAGATATATTGGAACGTATTAATTATAGGTAAAACAGCTCTTCGATCCATTGCCACCTAGCAACCAACATATTTATTATTTTTTAACCTTTTTAATTTTTATTTTAAAAATCTCATCCAGAACTAATTTTCAGATTGCAATCTTTCCGCCATGCCAGTCAGATTGGCATGACAAAACAATGTTCACACATCGATTTGATTGGCACAAAATTATTTGTCACGTCGGCCTAGTTAGCATGATAGCATTGGCTGTGTTTAGATTGGCCTAAAGTTTAGAATTTGGTTGAAATTGGAGACGATGTGACTGAAAAGTTATGTGTGTATGAAATGTTTGATGTGATGGAAAGTTGTAAGTTTGGAAAAAAAACTTTAGAACTAAACACACCTATTGTTTTGTTCACTACGAGTGGTATGATAGTGTTGTTTTGTCACGTCATATGCGATGGCAGGGCTAAAATTTTCGAATTTTCGATTAAGTGTGGGAGGTTAATTTTTAAAATTAAAAAATAGAAATGTTTAAAAAATATTAAAGATTCCACACTCTTATATACTACATCAATTCTCTGTAAAAAAAAATGAATTGATTTTTTATGAGATGGAGGGAGTAGCGAGTCAGTAGTCACAATATGGACGGTCTATGTACAGGCCGAGCTGGCGTGATAAGATCACTCGTAATTAATTCTACAAACCCAACTGTGCCTACACACAACTTAATTCTGAACTACCTCCCGTTCCAGAAAGAACCGATTTGTAGAGGGGATCGTTTGTAGCAGAAAGAATCGATTTCTGCACGCAAACCTTCACTGAGTTGCAGGTGAGAAAATCCACTTGTTCACGCAAAAGCTTCTCTCCTCTCTCTTTTCTCTCGCCTAGTGTAGTACTCTCTATCTCGTTCAAAAGATGCTCTCTGCCCTGTCAGAAGAGAGTACTTGTGCAAAAAAGAAGGTATTTTTATTGGAGAGATAGAATGAATCGTGTACTTGTATGAGGGTATTATGGTAGTATTTGGTAATAGCTGCTAAAAATGCATCGGGCATCTTGTCACTTTTGGATAGAGGGAGTAATCATCACGACAATTGTACTAGTCCAACCAAAACGGTTGACTCACTCACAGTAACGCAGCCATGGTCTAACTGCCGCCGTCCACAAATATAAATACTTTTTTTCTTTTCCAAATAACGGATGAAGAAAAATAAAATCATTATATTTTTATAGATAATGATAAGAAAAATAAGATAATTATATCTCTTACTAAAGGGAGGATTGAGAAGGGAGAAGGTTGTTGGGGGTAAGATTGAGTGAAAAAAATATTATCAATACATATTATAAACTAAAAATTAATTAAACATTTTTACGTACCACTCCTAAGCCATGTGGCATTGTAATAAATTTTAAAAATATAAAAATAGTAAAAAACTAAAACATCTATCTACTGATTTTAATTAAATGGTGGGTTAAATAAAAAAATCACCTCTCCAACCAATATATTAGAACTATAATAATCAAGATAAAATTTACTATAGAACACCTAAAAAAGTGTAATTAGTTGTGAGACATTGTAAAAAAGTGAATTTACTCGAGCACACTTTAAAAGTATGTTAATTTGCTATAGGATACTGGACGTATTAGAATATAATATCCAATCAATTAGTAAGAGAGAATCCGTATAAAATGACCGTTTTGTCCATACCTTTGTCTTCCTTCTAGTCTTCGCCCGACACTGCACGCTGCTATTCCAAGATGAGAACCTCGTGTGCATGTATCACAACATGGGGCAGGGTGCCTTCAGCCGCCCAACGTGGTTGACGATGGACGCACGGAAGCTCATCGATATGCCCGTCGCTGGGGTGAGCCTCGGCGCGCGTGGGTGGCATGCGGTTCGTGGCGTGCAAGCCGGAGAGCGGCGTGGTCACGCGAATGGAGGCGCTCGCGACGGTCAACACACCATGCCTATGTGCGTGACGACGAGCGGCGCGCGGGGTGTGCCTCGATTGCGCGGAGCCGTGCGGGTGCACGGGGCAGCTCGCCGACGCATTTGATTTGGTTTGGTGTTTATTCTTCTTTTGAGAAGCATCGGAAGAACACTATAAAAAGAGAGAAGAAGATAATGGCAAAATTGTCATTTGATGTGGTTTCTCTCTTATTAATTGGGTGAATATTATACTTTAATGCGTCCGGTGTCTTACAGCTAATTACCTCACTTTTAGAGTGTTCTTAGGCAAATTAACGTTTCTATGATGTCCCACAATAAATTATATTTTTTTCTGTCATGTAGTAAATTTTGCTAATAATTAGTGCCGACTAATCGCTCTCATCTGACCTTATTACATACGTACCTACCTAAAAAAGGCATTACCGACCTCCCTCCTTGTTAGGATCTATTTATTTTAAACCTTTTCTAGTTTTATCTAAAAAAAATAAACTCCCACAAAACTATTTCCAAATATCAACCTTTCAGCCACACTCAGTACAATATTGCCACAACAGTCTTACTAGATTATCATGGTGTCCGGGCTCCAAGCTATAAAACACACAAATTCTCTCAAATTTTTAAAAATTTTCAAATTATGAGTATATATCTAGGTATATGAATTTGATTCATACAAATACCTAACAACAAAACAACTCAAACTCAACTTTATTTCACAATTCATTATTACATATCTAACGAATTATATGTTTGGATGTTATATACCTAGAATCAAAATCTAACAAAAAAAAAAGTTCAAACTCAGTTCAAACTTGTTTGAACTTGTTAGTAAAGAAGTTAATGTTCATATCTAAACATTTAAAAAAATTTCATACTCATTCAAATTGGGTATATACTCAATTTGAATCTTGGAGCCCATACTCCATGTAGCACTAGTTAATTTACTTTTATATATATATATATATATATATATATATATATATATATATATATATATGTGTGTGTGTGTGTGTGTGTGTGTGTGTTAATGAATCTAGATATATATGTGTGCTTAGATTCATTAACATCTATATAAATGTGAGCAATGCAACAAACTCTTATAACCTGAAACGGAGGGAGTATATATATTTGGTCACGTTCTGACTGGCGTGACATTGTGGTTTCGCCATGCCATCCTGATTGGTTAGCGTGGCAGTATTGTTTTATCACGTCGGAAGAGATATCATGGTCAAAAGGTTCGGATTTTATTATTGAAAAGATTAAAAACAAATAAAAACTTCTCTCGACCTGTGCTTGTATATAAATGTGCTTACTTAAAAAAACAAAGCCCCATAAAATATATCATGCCAAGTGCTATCTTATATAATAAAAGTATTCACTAAATGTCAAGAAAAGAAAATTAACAACATAGATTATATAAAAATGCATAGCTAAATTCATTCATTTTTCAAGGTAATTCCGCTCCAACTCTATTGCCATCTCCCTTTAGTGAGAAAAATAATCTTAAATATTAAAATCTATCACTATTGAATTTTCACTTAAACCGATATACCCACTATTTATTTACGTACATGCAACAACACTACCAACCACCCCACCCCACCCCACCCCACCCCCCAAAAAAAAGAAAAGCCTACTTCCTCTCCTCTGTGTTTTATATGGAAGTTGACTAGATGAAAATAATAGTATATATGTAAATAAATAATATTATGAAACCATATATATAATTTCTAATTTGTTTGAATAGCAATATTTGTCACTGCTAAAAAGACAATTTAAGACGCATATTAACTTTAACTTTATTTAGAAAATGTGGCACACGGGCATGATATATTAGAAAATTACAATCTAGATTACTCTTATCATATACTCCCGCCGTGTGAGAATGTAAGAACCTACTCGATAGAACATATTCTATTACTACGAATCTAGACAGTTCCTATATCTAGATTCGCAATGTACTATGATGCTTTCCATACAGGTTCTTATATTTATATTCTCAGATGGAAGGAGTATTAATCTACAAACACGCATAGCTAAATTAGATTCATAATACACGAAAAAAATATCAAATCAACGTAACATTTAAATTATATATCCAATATATGCCCACTAATTCATCAAATGAATCAAGTAATAGATACGGATTTTTCTTTACCAATTATTTTTGGCGAGACAATCAAAAAATCTGGTGACACTTTAACAATAATTCTCAATGAGGTGCAAGCTACCACTAATGGAGAAACCATCTTTGGTCGGTCGACCCAAATCCACACTAGTTCCGGTTTTCCATTAAAAACCGGGACAAAAAACGATTTTTAGTCCCGGTTTATAAGAACAACAGGACTAGATGATCTTTATTCCCGGTTGGTGTTGGGACTAAAGATGAAGATCATCTTTAGTCCCGGTTGGTTCCATGTCAGACCGTGTCAGGCGCCTAGGATCTTTAGTCCCGGTTTGTAACACCAACCGGGACTAAAGATCTAACTTTAGTCCCGATTGGTGTTACTAACCGGAAATAAAAATCAACACGTAGTATATAATCCCTATTACTTATCCTCTTTTCTCTTCCACACAACAAACTCTCTCTCTATCTCTTTTTTTCCTCTCTAACTCCCTATCTCTTTCTCCTGCCTTATCTCTTTCCTTTTCGGATTGAGCGAGAGCGAGAGCGGGCCGGCCGGGCGGCAGCTGGCACGGCGGCGCGGAGGGCCGCGCGGCGGCCTACGCGAGCGGTGCGGCGGCGCGAAGGGCCGCGCGGCGGAGGGCCGTGCGGCGGTGGCCGGCCGGCGCGGAGAGGAGGCGGCAGCGACCGGCCGGCGCCTCTGTGGGTTTTCTTTTTTAGAATTTGTGATTTATTGCATGATCCTGTGATGTATTTGATTTGTGTGTGATGTGAACTTGTGATGTATTTGCGATGAATTTTGTAGAACTTGTGATGTAATTTGATTTGTGTGTAATTGCTTTTAGGATTTGTGATGTATTTGATTTGTGTGTATAAGTAACTTTAAGATTTGTGATGTGGATTTGGGATGTTACTTTGATTTGGGATTTGGGATTTAATTCGGGGACATACATACGACTTGATTCGGGAGAAAATAAAAAAGAAAAAAAAGAAGAAAAAAGAAAAAAAGAAGAAAGGGGACCATCTGGACTGTTGTTATCCCCTCTTTAGTCCCGGTTGGTAACACCAACCTGGATAGTTGGTGTTACCAATCGGGACTAAATATCGATCTTTAGTCCCGGTTATATCACCCAGGACTAAAGATAACGATCTTTTCCCGGATTCGTAGTCCCGGTTGGATAACCGGGACTAAAGGGGGTTACGAACCGGAAGGAAAGAAGGTTTCTCCACCAGTGTAATGTAGGTGGCCTTTGGGTGTGTCTATATGGATCCTGAGAGCAAGGATAATGGTAGAGCTCAGTTACTACTATTACCCTATCTTAAAGCCAACACATATATACATACGTACATACGTACGTACATACATACACACACATAATTAAATATATATATAATAGATAAGCTATAAGGTTAGCTTCAATTTTTTTACATAAAAAAAGGGTGGGTTTCAATTTTTCTTCTCCTCACACTTTTTCTCACTTATACATTTGATTAATGTATTTGTCTTGAGCTAGCTCTTACATGAGAGAGCTAACACTCTTAATTTTTTCTTACCTCTCAGCTCCACATAACCTTACAGTAAACTTTATAGCTCATTACTATCTTTGCTTGAGTGAGTGTGGAAATGCTGATCTCGAGGAGCATGGTGATGGTGAAGCCGGCAGGCATGCGCTTAATTTGCTGGTCGGTAGGGGCACATCAACGTCCATATATGCTGGAGCCCGGGCTTCATGGCATCGGAAAAAGTGAGGCAAGCCAATGCTGAGACCTTGTTTGGTGTATCTATGAGGAGCTTGAGCAGGTATACGAGGGCAGGGAGTGTGTCTTGCACAAACCAAGGCTTCATGACATTGTAGAAAAGAAAAGGCCTGGGCAATTGCTGTCGGATTTTACTGGGTGCAGGATCATACTTAATCTCAATATGGTGTTATCCTATTAGGTGAAAATAGTGGTATTTCCATAATATTTTTTTATAGATTTACACAGAAGTGAGAGAACGAAGCTTTCCATGTATGGAGTGGATATGATTTTTTTTATCGTATACTTAATTGGTACCTAGTTCACTTTTGGTGATATAGATGCAATTTCACCACAACAATAATAAGTACCACTTCCATCCCATGATATAAGGTGCCCTGATTCTTTAAAAAAGTAAATATTGTATATATTTTTTACTAACTGTTAAACTGATGATGTATACATTGATGACTTATTATTAGATTCGTTTTCGAAACTAATTTTAGAACATGTTACATTCATATTTGTTGCTAATATATTATAAAAGAAATGCATGGTCAAAAAAGTAAAGCGTTGGAAAAACTTTATATTTTAAGACGAGTGGAGTAGTGGTGGTCAGTGGTGGTTTATGATTGTATCTCATAGAATTAAATTTGTAAATATATATTTTTTTTCAATATTTTGCGTTTATATACATATATGCAAAACATTTGCACAGATATATCTCCTTCGTACGATGTGAACGCGGGACGGAGGTGGTGCCGCGCTTCCATTATGCGGGACCGGTGGTCGCGCAGCACGGCCGTGCGGCACCGCTCGCTCCCCTAGCCGGGGAGAGCGGCAGCGTGGTAGAGGCAGCTGCCCACGGTCGAGGCGACCGCCTCCGCGGCGGGCGGGACTGGATCGGTCGCGTGGGACCGTGCCGGTCGAGCAACACGTCCCGTCCCGTCCCGCGTGTGCGTGTGTCGCGGTTGACGTGCCATGCAAGCATCACCTATCGAGCACGCATGTAGGCAGTTGATCCAGTCAAATCCCACAATACATAGGCACTAGATTAGGGGTGTGTTCGGCACCTCCATTTTCCAACCCAATCTCTCTCATTTTCCACTCAGCACACTTTTCAAACGGCTAAACGGTGTGTTTTTTAAAAAAAGTTTCTGTGAAAGTTGCTTAAAAAATTCAAATTAATCTATTTTTTTAAAAAATTAGCTCATGCTTAATTAATCACGCGCTAATGGACTGCTCCGTTTCCGCGCATTCCTAGTTGGGAACCT